AGTTCAGAGGCAATTTTTACAGGGACAGTTTTACAGAGACAGGTTGCAGAGAAAACAAGCTAGACATAGATGAAGAAAGAATGAGCCAGAAAATGAGAAGGAGCCAGAAGATTGGAACAGATTGCCAGAGTAGTTTGAGGCCAAGCCAAACAATTTAGTGAGAAGCTAAGAGAAATCAGATCGAATCAGTCAGTTTAGAGAGGAGTTTGGGCTAGAACAGCTGAGTTGAACCAACTGTCCAGAGAAAGCATGAATTTATTCAGCAGTAAGCCTCTGAGGCAACATAAGGTAAATAAAAGTTTTATAAGAAGTAACTGATGACCTTAGAAGACAGGAAGGAAAGAGGATGGGTATAAAATCTACCCAGAGAATGAGAATGAGACAGAAGATTAGAACAGATTGCCAGAGTTAGTTTGAGGCCAGGTAGTGCAATTCAGTCAGAAGCCAAGAAAAGTCAGATTGAATCAGTCAATTTGCAAGATTAGATTTTTATTGAGGCTAGAAACTTCCAGGCCTAGGTCTAGGGAGAGTTGAAACAGAGAAAGAAATGCTCTGGGTTCAGCTCAAGCCGTGTATTTGCACAGCTTGGGTACGGCCCTCATCTCATCACTTCATCTGAGGAAATAAAATAGACGCAGAGCACAGGAAAGTATCCCAGGTAGAGCAGCAGCAGGGTTAGGGTTAGGATTAGGGTAAGGTGCTTGCAGGGATTAGTGATAATCTACTTCATGATAATCTGTCAGACCTTATACCTAAGAATTTTGCACATTTCCCGAATGTATGGTATGGTTTACTAAAACATTCAGTAAATTTAAGAAGCAATACTTCCTTCAGAGGTAGACAGGATACTGGATGGAATCAGTAGGAATCCCAGGGTGGGGGCTGTTTTCCAGCTTGTGTTGGGGACTTTACAGAGCATGATTGTGACTGTCTCCATTTTGAGAACAATCACAGGTGTAGGGAGGAGAATAGCCTATGGCCGATGGAGCATTTGAATTTTACTGTCACAGGGTTTTCTAAATCTGGCCCAGGAAAGTATCCATGTCTCTCTCCATGTCTTCAGGAGCCCCTGCTATGGGCATTTTCTGGGAAGGAGTGGCCTCAGTCCTTGTGTCGGGGGAAGGGAATGGCACAGAGAGTGCCAGTGTGGCTGTAAACCTGGCACCTGGATTTAAAACACAGGGATCACCTATTACCCTGATTTAGGAACTTCAACTTGAGGTCTAGCTCTTCAGCTGGCCTTGTACAACTTTTTGTTTGTTTTGTTTTTAAATTAAAAAACCTTGGGCTCCTCTGACAGGAAGACGAGACTTTTAAGGCCAGGAAGAAGGCAAAATGGAACAGCACGGTCCTTTTCTCAGCTGTTAATGAGACATGTGTAGTCAAGAGCAAGTATACACATTGATTCTTGTCAAATGAGATTCTTTACAGAGGGAAAACACCCGCTACTGTGGAGGTGTGTCCCCTGGGAATGCTTCATGCTTCAGTCCTTCAAATGAACAGACAACTCCTCTTTCAAGGTGTGTCTTCTGACACATCCCAAGTTCGTATTGAGATTCTCCTTTGGTGTCCTTTGCCAGTTAGAGCCCTTGTAGCTCCAGCGTGCTTCACCCATGTCTCAGCTTGCGACATGCATTCCACACCCCCACCCCCACACCCCCTTCCTTGAGAGGTGTAAGGGAAGAATTGGATTGCTGTTTGTTGAAATGGACTGTGTGTTTCACAAGTCCCATTTCAATAATCTAGAAAAAGCAATGTTGATTTTGGGATTGGAAAGGGCAATACAACACGACTAAATAAATAGCAGGCAGTCCCTCAGCCCCTGCTGGCCTGCAGAGTTACAATGTGATTTCTGGGCCTTAGAGTTTCCTCTCTTTTCTAAAGCAAACAGAATCTGAAAGGGCTTACACAGAGACAGAATTTTAAATCTGAATGCTCAGGAAATGGGACCTGGGAAATTCTAAAGCTATGATGTAATCCCTTGAGAAGTGGAAACTTTTCAGCTATCCCTTCACTCAGCCCAATCATTGTTCAGCTCTCTGTATGTACCTTTGAGTTTCCTGCAAATTTCATCTTCGGAGAGGCCTGTCCTTGTACTTTTCAAGGCTGAGCTTGGCCATCACCCGTGTATGGAAACCATCTCCAGGGCTGTGGATCTGAAACAAACATAGGGAAGATGTTTCAGAGCATGGGGAATGGGACTTGGCCTCAGAATGATCAATTCCCATGTTTGATTTCACTTTATTCTCGCCTCACGTTTGAAATCTTTTTTTAATTTTAAACAGGAAGAAGACAGAAACTATGTGGAGAATATCTTTTTATATGAGTGGACTTATTTTCATCATGTTTTTTCTCTACTATCATAATTTTTCAAGAGAGAGGGTATTAAGGAATAAACAGAAGGATTACGCTTGCTCTCTCATGAAGCCGAGAGCTGACTTTCTGCTGTGACTTCAACAAACAATTGCCAGCCTTCAGAAATGAACATTAACTTTAATAGGGGAGAATTAACCATGCTATTAACTTTTACCTTTCCTAGAGTGCAGCCTGTCAGCCTTGAAGCCCACTCAACACAAATTGGATCATTCTTCTGCTTTCACCCATCAATAGCTTTATCCCTTCTTCTCTGACTTAAAAAAAATGCATTTAGTTAGATTTATTCTAACCATTAACTTTAATGTCTAATACACAGAACTGGCATTTTCAATTCTGGGCCTACTTTTCGTAGTCAAAATTCATTGCAAAAGCTGTTTTATAGAGGCATTCTGATAGACTTGATTACCATCACTATGTTTTGTGTATTTGTAGAGTGATTCTGGAATTTAAAAGACAGCTATAACCAAATAATACCTACCAAATTATCATCCTGTAAAAGTTTCAGGAATCCTAAACTTCTGAACTCCAAGTTGGCCAGAGAAGCCCAGGGCAGTATTTGGTAGCATAAGAATGATATTGATTATGACTTGATAGCTAGGCTTTGCTAAACAGAATTTCCATATCACTTCAAGAAAATTAAACTTAGGAACTTTCACCCATTGCTTTGGGAAAGATACTTTTAAGGTATAAAAGTTTTGTAGATCAATTAGACAATATCTAGTGGAGGTGAAATAATATCTATCTGTCTATCTATCTATCTATCTATCTATCTATCTCATAGACTATTAATTCCAGGATCAAGTATATGAATTATGGATGCTCAACCATGGTAGCATAAAAATATGTATTATAGAAGTTGGTGAAAGATTTTTGATGTATACAAGGTGAATACACAATGGATAACAATGTAAACTAGTGAAAATATGAACCATTGATGAAATGAATTCAGTTTAATAATTGCAAGGAGCAAAAATAAATAAAAGCATAGTTGAGACTCACATTAAAAGAATAAAGGTCAAGTAGTAGAAATGTATTTTGTATAAATCTGAATATAACACATCATGTTATTTAATATTTGATGTTTATAAAAGGATAAAGAGATAAACATAGTATGTTCCATGGGTGTGTGGAGAGGTATGGGTGAAGGGGATGTCTCAGCGGGCCCATGCCGAGCCATCTCTTCCCCCTGAGGGACCAGTCACACACCAGTATAGCATAGAATAGAGTTTATTCAGAGCATGGGGAGGGGAGCCAGGAGGGTAGCAGAGGCAGAGAGAGAGAGAGAGAGAGAGAGAGAGAGAGAGAGAGAGAGAG